ATTCTGCTTAATACCAAGAAACATCTTAACCAATAAGTAAGTACAGACAGGAAACAGATGCTGTTGCAGCTCTGAAATAGACTTAATTTGTTTTATATTAGTGCCCAAGCACACGTTATTCATTACCTTCTGGCATAACACAAGGCTTCCATTTTCAGGCCTGCTGTTCCATGAGGCTTAAACAATGGAATTATAGATTCTGAACAGAGGAATGTTACAGTTACTTTGAAGGGAGAAGGAATCCAGTTTATGGATTAATCTTTATTCTATACTTGCAATTCAATACATTTGAGAGAGTTTTCCACAATGGAATAGGCAGAAAGAAGTATTAAAACCATTGCTGTACAGAAGTATCCTAAATTATGTTACTTTTAATGATGAACAGAATATTAACTTCATAACCTAAAATTAGTCCCTGCCTTCTGTTTTGTTTTGGGTTTTTTTTAATTATGATTTAGTATGCAAGGCATAATGTCCCTTGTGTTTCACTATAAACTATACTATAAACTTTGACTGTTGTGCACAGTGATCAGCAGGTAGCAGGCTAGAATGCTTTGATAACTATTTCTTTAAGATTTCCATTGTACAACTTAGGTAATGAAATTACCCTAAACATTACTTTTCCTCACTGCGAGCACACTTATAATGTAGAAGACAGACTGGGTTATATTTTTCTTTTTTAATTCTAAAAATCCCTCTCTTAAACACACATAGGGGAATCCATAGCTTGAAATTAAAGGTATTAAAGGAATATTCTAATTTTTGAAAAATTAGTAAAATCTAAGTTAGAGTTTCCCACTTAGGTAGATGTAAGTGCTACTGAAAATTAAAATGCCTTGCCTTTATGATTTTATGAGTGACTGATTTTGTAGAATCATGGAATAACATTTTTTGAAATTGCGTTAAAGAAAAATTCTTAGATTAAGGAAATTAGATGTGTTAGAATTGTGTGTGCCCTTTGATGTTCATTAGATCTAGCAGACATCTTTCTGTGAAGCTGCAAGACCAACTTGGCTGAGGTACAAGCTGCACAGTGACCTGAAACTGGAATGCTAGAGAGAGTGGAGATGTTCAAACTTACAAGAACTGGTATAGAACAGCAGCATAAGTACCTGGAGAAAGTATCAGAAAAGCCAGGGATAGTAAACAAAAAAATCAAAGCAAACAAACAAAAAACCACAAACAAAACCACAAAGAAACCTCAGCAAAACATATTATGTTTCTAAGATGGCAAAGACTTAAGAATTAGGCTGGAGTAAGAAAATAATAGGTTACACACTGCTGTTCAAAGTAGCTAGTTTTGCTGAAATTAATCCAAGAGCATTTAAGATTTACAGCTATGGCAGATCTCCATTATGGCTGGCAATAATGGTAGCCAGTAGTTTTAAGAAGTTGTGGAGAATGGCTACGTAAGGCTGCAAAGTGTTAGGTATGCCATCTTTCACTTAAGAAGGGAAAAAGAGGAAGATGCAGAGATTTGTGAATGAGTTGCCTAGCTTCAGTTTTCAACAAATCATTACAAAAGTGTAAGGTTTTAATGACAGACAGAATGTATTTATCAATAACAAATTGTGTCAGAGTCCCTTAATTTATTCCTTGAAAAGGCAGACACTGTGGATAGGGAAGAAACAGTAGATGTGACACATTTTTAACTTTCAGACTACGTGCAATGACTTTTGAAATAAGTAAGGAGATATGGCCAAAGATGAAATGATAATGGGACTGTTGATGGTTCATTGTCAAACCATAAAGATGTATCGGTGGGGGGCTAGACACATCCCAGTGTGTCTGGGGTGATATTCAATGTTGTTGCAAGTCATTCAGATAATAGAGTGGAGAGCACGCTTAATAATTTCTCATTCAGCATCAAGCTGGCAGGGTTTGAAAGCATTTTGGAGGACAGGTTTAGAATTCAAAAATTTCTTGACAGACTGAAGAAATGTCCTGAATTAACCAGGAGTGTTTATGTGTAATTGCTCTGCTGTATTCAGCTTGTGTTAGATTTTGACTAGATAGGGAGACTTCAGAACAGGTCAG